TAGGGATTTCAGGAGGACAATACATTGTCCCGTCTTGTCTCTCTGAGGTTTGTCCTACATGTTGGACTTTTTGGTACAATAGTATTGTTTATCTCCCAAAGCAAATTCCAGTGTCAAATAATTGTCATAATTATTCCACTTCTTCAGTTCAGTCAAGACGAGGTTCCTCTCGCAGATCCATCTACTGGAGTCCTCACACCGCACACCTTGCAGGTTCCCTCCAACGATCTTCCAACAAGCATCCTTCATCCATCTAAAGATCAACAAAAAGGAAACCACGTTGCACACTTTTATGTGAGTGATTATATTTAAGGCAGGGGTCTCCGAATATTCTTAGAAAAGGGCCAATTTACTGTCCTACAGACTTTAGGAGGGGGGTGGCCAGACCAGAAAATGACCCGGTATCAATGGGAGTAAACAATGCCCCATCTATGATGTTAGTGAGAGGAATTGTGCCCCATCATTGGTGTCATTGGGCCCCATTCTTGGTATCATTGGGATGAACTGTGTCCCATCATTGGTGTCATTGGGCCCCATTCTTGGTATCATTAGGATGAACTGTGCCCCATCATTGGTGTTATTGGGCCCCATTCTTGGTATCATTGGGATGAACTGTGCCCCATCATTGGTGTTATTGGGCCCCATTCTTGGTATCATTGGGATGAACTGTGCCCCATCATTGGTGTTATTGGGCCCCATTCTTGGTATCATTGGGATGAACTGTGCCCCATCATTGGTGTCATTGTGCCACATTCTTGGTATCATTGGGATGAACTGTGCCCCATCATTGGTGTCATTGGGCCCCATTCTTGGTATCATTGGGATGAACTGTGCCCCATCATTGGTGTCATTGGGCCCCATTCTTGGTATCATTGGGATGAACTGTGCCCCATCATTGGTGTCATTGGGCCCCATTCTTGGTATCATTGGGATGAACTGTGCCCCATCATTGGTGTCATTGGGCCCCATTTTTGGTATCATTGGGATGAACTGTGCCCCATCATTGGTGTCATTGTGCCACATTCTTGGTATCATTGGGATGAACTGTGCCCCATCATTGGTGTCATTGGGCCCCATTCTTGGTATCATTGGGATGAACTGTGCCCCATCATTGGTGTCATTGGGCCCCATTCTTGGTATCATTGGGATGAACTGTGCCCCATCATTGGTGTCATTGGGCCACATTCTTGGTATCATTGGGATGAACTGTGCCCCATCATTGGTGTCATTGTGCCACATTCTTGGTATCATTGGGATGAACTGTGCCCCATGCCCCATTGGTGTCATTGGGCCACATTCTTGGTATCATTGGGATGAACTGTGCCCCATCATTGGTGTCATTGGGCCCCATTCTTAGTATCATTGGGATGAACTGTGCCCCATCATTGGTGTCATTGGGCCCCATTCTTGGTATCATTGGGATGAACTGTGCCCCATCATTGGTGTCATTGGGCCCCATTCTTGGTATCATTGGGATGAACTGTGCCCCATCATTGGTGTCATTGGGCCCCATTCTTGGTATCATTAGGATGAACTGTGCCCCATCATTGGTGTCATTGGGCCCCATTCTTAGTATCATTGGGATGAACTGTGCCCCATCATTGGTGTCATTGGGCCCCATTCTTAGTATCATTGGGATGAACTGTGCCCCATCATTGGTGTCATTGGGCCCCATTCTTAGTATCATTGGGATGAACTGTGCCCCATCATTGGTGTCATTGGGCCCCATTCTTAGTATCATTGGGATGAACTGTGCCCCATCATTGGTGTCATTGGACCCCATTCTTAGTATCATTGGGATGAACTGTGCCCCATCATTGGTGTCATTGGGCCCCATTCTTGGTATCATTGGGATGAACTGTGCCCCATCATTGGTGTCATTGGGCCCCATTCTTGGTATCATTAGGATGAACTGTGCCCCATCATTGGTGTCATTGGGCCCCATTCTTAGTATCATTGGGATGAACTGTGCCCCATCATTGGTGTCATTGGGCTCCATTCTTAGTATCATTGGGATGAACTGTGCCCCATCATTGGTGTCATTGGGCCCCATTCTTAGTATCATTGGGATGAACTGTGCCCCATCATTGGTGTCATTGGGCCCCATTCTTAGTATCATTGGGATGAACTGTGCCCCATCATTGGTGTCATTGGACCCCATTCTTAGTATCATTGGGATGAACTGTGCCCCATCATTGGTGTCATTGGGCCACATTCTTGGTATCACCACCAAGTTGGGCAATCATGACATTGGGACCCAGGACAGCCAATGGGAAGTCAACTTCGGGGGCGCCTACTGTATTTCCGAAAATGCATCCACTAGTCCATGGGCCAGTCTCATGCAGACAGATGAAATAAGGAGGGACACAGATGGGTACAATTCATATAAGGGAAGCACTCCAATGGGGACACTTGATGTAAGGGGGCACTCTGATGGGATCTCTGATTGGATACCTGAAGTAAGGGGGCACTCTGATAGGGACACCTGATGTAAGCGGGCACTCTGATGGGGACACCTGATGTAAGGGGGGCACTCTTATGGGGACAAATGATGTAAGGGGGCACTCTGATAGGGACCCTGATGTAAGGGGCACTCTAATGTGGACCCCTGATGCAAGGGGGCACTCTAATGGGGACCCATGATGCAAGGGGGCACTCTAATGGGGACCCCTGATGCAAGGGGGCACTCTAATAGGGATCCCTGATGTAAGGGGGCACTCTGATGGGGGCACTCTGATGGGGACCCCTGATGCAAGCGGGCACTCTGATAGACACCCTGAGGAAGGGGGCAATCTGATAGGGACCCTGATGTAAGGGGGCACTCTGATAGGGACCCTGATGTAAGGGGGCACTCTGTTGGAGACAGTTGATATATGGGGAACTCTGAAGGAGGCACTCATGGGAACACTTGATGTAAGGGGTACTCTGATAGGGACCCCTGATGTAAGGGGGCATTCTGATGGGGGCACTCTGATGGGGACCCCTGATGCAAGCGGGCACTCTGATAGGGACCCTGAGGATGGGGGCACTCTGATAGGGACCCTGATATAAGGGGGCACTCTAATAGGGACCCTGATGTAAGGGGGCACTCTTTTGGAGACAGTTGATATATGGGGAACTCTGAAGGAGGCACTCGTAGGAACACCTGATGTAAGGGGTACTCTGATAGGGACCCCTGATGTAAGGGGGCATTCTGATGGGGGCACTCTGATGGGAACACCTGATGTAAGGGGTACTCTGATAAGGACCCTGGTGTAAGGGGGCACTCTGTTGCAGACAGTTGATATATGGGGAACTCTGAAGGAGGCACTCGTAGGAACACCTGATGTAAGGGGTACTCTGATAGGGACTCCTGATGTAAGGGGGCATTCTGATGGGGGCACTCTGATGGGAACACCTGATGTAAGGGGGTACTCTGATAGGGACCCTGATGTAAGGGGGCACTCTGTTGCAGACAGTTGATATATGGGGAACTCTGAAGGAGGCACTCGTAGGAACACCTGATGTAAGGGGTACTCTGATAGGGACCCCTGATGTAAGGGGGCATTCTGATGGGGGCACTCTGATGGGAACACCTGATGTAAGGGGTACTCTGATAGGGACCCTGGTGTAAGGGGGCACTCTGTTGGAGACAGTTGATGCAAGGGTGAACTCTGATGGAGGCACTCTCATGGGAAAACCTGATGTAAGGGGGCAAGCTGATGGGAACTCAATGTAAAGGAGGCCTCTGATGAGGACTCCTGATTTAAAGAGGGACTCTGATAGGGACATCTGATATAAGGACGACAGGTTCTGTGTCAGTCTGATACATACTTGTGTTTCCCAGGTCGTGACACCGTGTGACAGGCTCTCAGTGACTCACAGTGTTGTCATTACACCCCCTGACTTTTTTTTTTACTCCCCCCCCCCCAGCAGGACGAACCGCCATCTATATATAGGGTCCGGAGGGACACTCCCACTGATCAGGATGCGTTCCATGGGGGAGGAAGGCGTACCAAAAACAGGACGGGAAGTCGGAACGGACCACGTGTCTAAATTGCTGGGAAATGACAGTTTCTGGCCTCATTGCCCTTTTTGTAAACGGAGGGATAGGGACTCTCAGGATCCATACCAGACTCTTATCCCGGATGAGTGTCTGATATACATACAGTGGGGATGGAAAGTTTGGGCACCCCAGCTAAAAATGTGTATTAATGTGCATAAAGAAGCCAAGGAAAGATGGAAAAATCTCCAAAATCCTCAAATTACAGATTAGACATTCTTATGTCAACAAAAGTTAGATTTTATTTCCATAATTTACACTTTCAAAATAACAGAAAACAAAGAAATGGCGTCTGCAAAAGTTTGGGCACCACTGTATGAAGTCTCCGCCCCCCCGGATCAGAAGTCTCCGCCCCCCCCGTATCAGAAGTCTCTGCCCCCGGATCAGAAGTCTCCACCCATTGGAAGGTTCAACCTTGGTACAGACACACAAGGCGACACACATGGGGTACAATGGCAATTAAAAGGTTAATCTCCCACATCTTTGGCTTTTAAATTGCAATTAGTGTCTGTGTATAAATAGTCAGTGAGTGTGTTACTGAGCAGGCTAGATACTGAGCCATGGGAGGATCAGAAAAGAACTGTCAAAAGACCTGCGTAACAAGGGAATGGAACCTTATAAAGATGAAAAAGGATATAAAAAGATATCCAAAGCCTTGAGTATGCCATGGTGGTGGCTCACTGATGTTTTTGGGGTGCGTGAGCTCTAAAAGCACAGGGAATCTTATGAAAATTGATGGCAAGATGAATGCAGCAAGTTATCAGAAAATACTGGCAGACAATTTGCATTTTTCTGTACAAAATCTGCATATGGGGCGCTCTTGGATTTTCCAAGGGTTAGGACAATAATCCTAAGCACACGGGCCAAGTTGACCCTCCAGTGGTTACAGCAGAGTCTCCTGACCTTCATATCATCGAGCCACTCTGGGGAGATCTGAGACATGCGGTTCATGCAAGACCTCCTATCACGTACCTGGTGATGGAGGCCAATGGAGAGAGGGCTTCCCTTGCGGCTAAGTTCCAGACTCCCCTGGATATGGGACAGAAGGAGTCAGGCCCAAAGTAGCACGGGTCGCCTGTAGGAGTGCTGGTCAGGAGTACACCCAGGAGCACAGCTGATGCACTGGGATGGTGTCTGCAGACAGGTGGCGCCTGTGGGCGGTATATGCACCGGGATGGTGTCTGCAGACAGGTGGCGCCTGTGAGCGGTATATGCACCGGGATGGTGTCTGCAGACAGGTGGCGCCTGTGAGCGGTATATGCACCGGGATGGTGTCTGCAGACAGGTGGCGCCTGTGGGTGGTATATGCACCGGGATGGTGTCTGCAGACAGGTGGCGCCTGTGAGCGGTATATGCACCGGGATGGTGTCTGCAGACAGGTGGCGCCTGTGGGTGGTATATGCACCGGGATGGTGTCTGCAGACAGGTGGCGCCTGTGAGCGGTATATGCACCGGGATGGTGTCTGCAGACAGGTGGCGCCTGTGGGTGGTATATGCACCGGGATGGTGTCTGCAGACAGGTGGCGCCTGTGAGCGGTATATGCACCGGGATGGTGTCTGCAGACAGGTGGCGCCTGTGAGCGGTATATGCACCGGGATGGTGTCTGCAGACAGGTGGCGCCTGTGAGCGGTATATGCACCGGGATGGTGTCTGCAGACAGGTGGCGCCTGTGAGCGGTATGCAGGCCTTCAGGGAAACAGAGGACCACAGAGTAGTCGGTTCAAAGCCAAGGTCAAGTGCCAGGTGGAGATTGGAGCCGATGTAGTCAGTAGACTAGCCGGGGTCATGCACAGAGGAGCGGGAGAGAATATCTGTTAGCCAAGCCAAGGTCAGGTCAGGAGTCAGGCAGAGAGGACAGGTCCAAGTGCAAGCCGGGTCGATAACGGGCACTAAAGCAAGGGACACAGACAATGGTATTGGGGAGCCAGAGATCACCCAGCAACTTGAGGGAGTGGTGAGCCTCCTTATAAAGGCCGTCTGGCACCAAACTGAGCCAATGCATGTGCAACTATGCACCACTGCGCATGCGTGTTCTGACTCACGTCCGTGCACCAATGCGCATTGGGTCTTCGCCAACCTGCACTTCTGCGGCCACGCAGGTTACTGGCAGGATTGCCAGGTCTCCCAGAACTTCTACTGTGGACAGAACCCTGACACCACTAAAGACTTTGCATGACCTGGACCCCCCATACAAATGGGCAGCTCTACCACCTGCAACAATTTGGGGGCCTCATAGACTACTATTACAGAAGACGGCACGCTGTCATTGGTGCTAAAGGGGGCACTACACATTATTAAGAACTAAGGGGGTGCAGACTATTGAACGGGGGGGGGGGGGGGGGAAGGGCATTTCATTGGTTTACTTTTTGTCATGTTTTGTTTTCTGATTGGGCCAATCTGTTATCACCTCCAGTTACAGAATGTGAGTCCCAGAAGAAATAAAAGAAATGGGCTTTGCCGGCTCACTTGTGTTTTCTTTAAAAATGGTCCATCTTGTATATTACAGATTCTCCGAGGGGGGGGGGGGGGGGGGTGTGGCACTTTTCAGCACAACTGTATTGGACTTTTATTTGGCGATAAATAGTAATGGATATTGCCTGGATGTTCTTATCATCAAAAGTAAGCTGGTTCAAAAAGTAAAAAAAAAAACACTATTAAAGTGTGGTGGTATATTTATTGCCATTACTGTGACCCACCATGAAAAAAACATACATTTTTCCTACTTGTGTTGTTTGCGGTGATACCAGATAGACTATATTGCCAAAAGTATTGTCCCCGCCCTCCAAATCATGTGATTCATGTGTTCCAATCCCCTCCATATCATGTGATTCAGGTGTTCCAATCCCCTCCATATCATTGGATTCAGGTGTTCCAATCCCCTCCCAATCATGTGACTCAGGTGTTCCAATCCCCTCCCAATCATGTGATTCAGGTGTTCCAATCCCCTCCCAATCATGTGACTCAGGTGTTCCAATCCCCTCCCAATCATGTGATTCAGGTGTTCCAATCCCCTCCCAATCATGTGATTCAGGTGTTCCAATCCCCTCCATATCATGTGATTCAGGTGTTCCAATCCCCTCCAAATCATTGGATTCAGGTGTTCCAATCCCCTCCCAATCATGTGATTCAGGTGTTCCAATCCCCTCCCAATCATGTGATTCAGGTGTTCCAATCCCCTCCATATCATGTGATTCAGGTGTTCCAATCCCCTCCAAATCATTGGATTCAGGTGTTCCAATCCCCTCCCAATCATGTGATTCAGGTGTTCCAATCCCCTCCAAATCATGTGATTCAGGTGTTCCAATCCCCTCCATATCATGTGATTCAGGTGTTCCAATCCCCTCCCAATCATGTGATTCAGGTGTTCCAATCCCCTCCATATCATGTGATTCAGGTGTTCCAATCCCCTCCCAATCATGTGATTCAGGTGTTCCAATCCCCTCCATATCATGTGATTCAGGTGTTCCAATCCCCTCCATGGACACAGGTGTATACAATCAAGCCCCTAGGCATGCAGACGGCTTCTACAAACATTGGTGAAAGAATGGGTCGCTCTCAGGAGCTCAGTGACTCCAAGCGTGGTCCCGTGATAGGTGGCCACCTGGGCAATAAGTCCATCCGTGACATTTCCTGGCTACTAAATATTCCACGCTCAACTGTTAGTGGGATTATAACAAAGTGGAAGCCACTGGGAACAACAGCCACTCAGCCACCAAGTGGTAGGCCACGTCACATGACAGGGCGGGGTCAGCGCATGCTGAAGCGCACAGTGCGCAGAAGTCGCCAACTGTCTGCAGAGTCAATAGCTAAAGACCTCCAAACTTGGTGTGGCCTTCAGATGAGCCCAACAACAGTGCGTAGAGAGCTTCATGGAATGGGTTTCCATGGCCGAGCAGCTGCATCCAAGCCTTCCATCACCAAGTGCAATGCAAAGCGTCGGATGCCATGGTGTAAAAGCACGCTGCCACTGGACTCTAGAGCAGGGGAGACATGTTCTCTGGAGTGACCAATCACGCTTCTCTCTGTCTGGCAATCTGATGGACATGTCTGCGTTTGGCAGTTGCCAGGAGAACGGTACTTGCCTGACTGCATTGTGCCAAGTGTAAAGTTTGGTGGAGGGGGGATTATGGTGTGGGGTTGTTTCTCAGGGGTTGGGCTTGGCCCCCTAGTTCCAGTCAAAGGAACTCTCAAGACGACATTTTGGACAATTTCATGCCCCCCAACTTTGTGGAAAGAATTTTGTGGGAAGACTCAGGCCACAGGCATATTGGATTCATGTCATGGCCGCAAAAATGGCCGTGTGACTATATTTTGTCAGTGATGTCATACTATCGCCCTTTGTCTACACGGGGGATTCCTGGCCAGTAAATGATCGGGACCTGATGGCATCGCTGGTTGCCAAGGATGCAGCTATATGAAGAACGATCTTTATGCTGGAAAAAGCTGGACATCTGCCATGTTGCCGCGATGTCATACTTACGATTCATATCGGCTGGGCCACTTCCACTCTTGTGGATAATTCCATATTAGTGCCTTTCCAACCCAGAATTCTCCTTTCCCCGACAAGAAATCCTAGAAATAATAAACAAAGTCTGAATGAAGTCGGGTGGAGTAAGTGCAGCCAACAAACACCTCGTCCTGAACCGTCACAGGAGCCACAACAAATACCCCATCAGTATAATCCAGCCCTGCATAGAGGCAACATGTCACGTGTGATAGAACAGAAAATATCATTTATAACATACAGTCGGGGCTTCTTCTAGAGTCACATCTTGTCTCCACCCCCCCCCCCACCAATCACCCCCCACCAGACCCCCCCCCCCCACCAGCAACAACAGATTCCTCCAGCAACAATGCACCCCAAAACTAAGTACCATCCCAGTGATACCCCCAGCAGCTACAATAGATCTCCCAACAGACAGCAACAATAGAACCTCCCCAACAGTACATCTCTTTTAGCAACAATAGACAACCACACAAATTCTCTCCCCAGCAGCCAGCAACAATAGATCCTACAGCATCCCTTCCCATTACATATGTACATTCAGTGCTGGAGGTGCGTTCCCCCACACCCCCGCTGAAGAAAAGCCCTGTATACAGTATATGTATATATATATATACACACGCACAGTGCTTTGAAAAAGTCCCCCTCCCCCCCCTGAAATGTCCCCCATGTTGTCATGTTACAATGTATTCCCCCTCCCCCCTGAAATGTCCCCCATGTTGTCATGTTACAATGTATTCCCCTCCCCCCCTGAAATGTCCCCCATGTTGTCATGTTACAATGTATCCCCCCTCCCCCCTGAAATGTCCCCCATGTTGTCATGTTACAATGTATCCCCCCCCCCCCTGAAATGTCCCCCATGTTGTCATGTTACAATGTATCCCCCCCCCGAAATGTCCCCCATGTTGTCATGTTACAATGTATTCCCCTCCCCCCTGAAATGTCCCCCATGTTGTCATGTTACAATGTATCCCCCCCCCCGAAATGTCCCCCATGTTGTCATGTTACAATATATTCCCCTCCCCCCTGAAATGTCCCCCATGTTGTCATGTTACAATGTATTCCTCCTCCCCCTGAAATGTCCCCCATGTTGTCATGTTACAATGTATTCCCCCCTCCCCCCTGAAATGTCCCCCATGTTGTCATGTTACAATGTATTCCCCTCCCCCATGTTGTTATGTTACAATGTATTCCCCCCTCCCCCCCCGTGAAATGTCCCCCATGTTGTCATGTTACAATGTATATTCCCCTCCCCCCCATGTCCCCCATGTTGTCATGTTACAATGTATTCCCCCCCCATGTTGTCATGTTACAATGTATCCCCCCCCCATGTTGTCATGTTACAATGTATCCCCCCCCCCATGTTGTCATGTTACAATGTATTCCCCTCCCCCCCCCATGTCCCCCATGTTGTCATGTTATAATGTATTCCCCCCCCCATGTTGTCATGTTACAATGTATCCCCCCCCCATGTTGTCATGTTACAATGTATTTCCCCTCCCCCATGTTGTCATGTTACAATGTATCCCCCCCCCATGTTGTCATGTTACAATGTATTCCCCCCCCCCCCATGTTGTCATGTTACAATGTATCTATTGGGATTGGATGTGATGGACCAACACAAAGTGGCACATAATTGTGAAGTGGAAGGAAAATGAGAAATGGTTTCCAACATTTGTGACCAATAAATCTGTGAGAAGTGTGGTGACATTTGTATTCGGCCCCCCGGAGTCAATACTTTGTAGGACCCCCTTTGGCTGCCATTCCAGCTGCAAGTCTTTTTGGGGATGTCTCTTTGCACATCTAGAGAGGGACATTTCTGCCCGTTCTTCTTTGCAGAATCCCTCAAGCTGTCAGATTGGATGGAGAGCGTCTGGGAACAGCAATTTTCAGGTCTGGCCACAGATTCTCCATTGGATTTGGGTCTGGACTGTGACTGGGCCATTCTAACACATGAAGATGCTTTGATCGGAACCATTCCATTGTAGCTCTGGCTGGATGTTTCGGGTCGTTGTCCCGCTGGAAGGGAAACCTCCGCCCCGGTCTCAAGTCTTCTGCAGACTCTAACAGGTTTTCTTCTAAGATTGCCCTGTATTTGGCTCCATCCATCTTCCCATCAACTCTGACCAGCTTCCCTGTCCCTGCTGAAGAAAAGCATCCCCACCACATGAAGCTGCCACCACCATGTTTCACAGTGGGGATGGTGTGTTCAGGGTGATGGGCAGTGTTAGTTTTCCACCACACATAGCGTTTTGCTTTTAGGCCAAAAAGTCCCATGTTGGT